GCAGAGTTTACCATGAAGCAAATATCGGGTTGAAGAAGTTAAAGCTAAGACATTGTGGGGGCGCCTGGGTGGCTCAGTCGGTTAAGCATCTGACTTCAGCTCAGGTCATGATCTCACGGCTCGTGGGTTCGAGCCCCGCGTCAGGCTCTGTGCTGACAGCTCAGAGCCTGGAACCTGCTTCGGATTCTGTGTCTCCCTCTCTCTCTCTGCTCCTACACCACTCATGCTTTGTCTCTCTGTCTCTGAAAAATGAATAAACCTTAGAAAAAATTAAAAAGAAAAAAAGCTAAGAAATTGTGGCTTGTAGGAAAAATGCTGCCAAGATCCTTCCCACCATGCTTCCCGTTAGAATGAAGGTGTCTTCAGGCTCCTTAATGTGTGGAAACAACGTGAGCAGTGAGAAAAAAAGGGGAAACAGCTCGACTGTGTCCCTCAAATGGATCCTTTTGCCTTTTCCACATCTGTGAGCAGCTGTCAGCCCCATGGCAGATGGGTGATCAGGAGCTGGGGCCTCTGGTCGCAGGTAGATTGAGACCCTTTAGCTAACGTGTGAATTGGATTTAGCCATGAACTGTGACGGCCACACCACATGAAAAGTCTGGCTGGCAGAAGAAGGCACTGGGGGACGGCTTCCCCGGGGAGGTCCACGGTGGGGACATTCGTGCCAGGACAGACACCCACATTTGGGCACAAGGTCTGAGCACAATGTCGGATGGGAACCCTAAGAAGTTGTGCAGGATCTCGTCTTGCCCAGAGATCCTTTCTCTGGTCCTTCTTCCCACTGGGGCACTTTTTGAGAGCCTGCCAGCCTCGCCCACATCACTTATTTACTGGTACTTTGTAAACTGAGTGATTGGGTTACTTACATTAAAAATTGCAACTTTGAACTTAAATGCACAAGTGAGTAGAACAGAGTAGAACAGTGAGTAGAACAACAAATGTGTTGTCAGATATAGTAATAATACCCCCAGGAAGCCACGGTGTTCAAACCCTGAGGTCATGCTCAGACACATGGTTCATTGGGCAGCACTTTATGGATTTGTGGGCATGGAATTTTCTGTGTGGTTTTAAATCTGGAGGACCGGCCCTGGAACCTCTGTCTCTCGAATTACGGCAGACATCATGCTTTGTGAGCATCTTCGAGAAGAGTGGGATTCCGAGACCAGCCGGAGCCCCTCCTTTGAGCAAATCTATCTTCACGGAGCTTATCCGCACACTGTCCACGAGCCAGGCTTGCTTCCCATCTGGCTCAGCTTCTTGGGGCTGGTGGCCAGTTTCTCTGAGGTCCTGGAGAGAGTAGGCATGAAACTCGCGGTCTATGACACTCTGGAGTGGGGGCGTGGCCAGTGTTCCGTATTCTGACCTGTGGAGAAGTCAGGGCAACTGCTCAGTGGCGGGATCCATGAATCACCCGGAGGATGTCTGTCCCTTCTTTGATACTGGTCACCTCTGACCAGTCCCAGCTGGAAGCGTCTTTGGACCGTCTTGGGTTCTTTCTTCCAAGAAACACCCCTTTCTCACTTGTATCTGGCTTCTTCCATCCTGCACCAAGTCGTCCCCGGAAGTGATGCCTGGAGAGACATCCCATGTGACCAGTGATAGCTGTCAGCCATGGAGAGCGTGAGTGTTCCAGTAAATATCCCCAAACCAGAACTGTCTCCCCACCTGGTTACAGTGTCCTTCCCCAAGGGCCTCTAAGGTTAGTTTAAATGAGTTTGAGACGCTTGGGAACAAGATGGACATCGGAGAGATTCGCAGTGACTTACCCCCTTTTCCATCTGTAAACGGCGGGCTTTGGCCATCACGTCTCCATTCCCTGTGGGACAGGCGGGGGACCAGCAAGGCTAACTCGCTTTCCTCGGGTGATGGAGCCAGTGCCTGCTAACAGTACGCATTCACTCAGCATCCAGTACTTGCCGGCAGTGGTCTGCTGCGGCCCAGTGCCTTGGCTGCCTGGCCAGAACCATACACCGGCCTTCCTTTCGCACCTGTGGCTGCAGCCGCCCCTCCACCTGACCTTTGGCTTCACCACCACCCAATAAAAAGTTCCACATCACAGGTACTGAGTGGACTCTGGGTGGTCCTAAGACACAGTGTTGATAAAAATTTAATTCAAACGTTCTTGAGACAGGTAACACCTTGACTTCATTTCTGAACAACATTCCAATGACTCCTATTGGGTTCCACATGGTTTTAGGTGAAGGAAGAGGGGAAGAGAGGGTGAGCTCTGTTCAAACAGGGCGGTGTGCATGGGGCTGAGGGAGCTGGGTGCCTGGTCTCTGAGCAAACTTTGCCGTGTCCCCCACTGCTCCTGTGCTCCCCCTTCTCTGCCTTATCTTCCCCCCGGCCCCTTCCTTGTAGGAATTTCTGGCAAGCCTGTTTACTTTGTGGTCTGTGACTGGGTGGCTCAGGACCGTGGAGTGAGGGTTCTCAGGAATCGATAAAATTAGGAGCAGAGTGTGAGTTTACTGTGCAGTGAAAAAGGGGTTGACATCTCCATGTCTCTGTTCCTGGATCTTCTGTGTCTCCTTGACCCTAAGGGAAATTATTATTCAAAGGAAAGTTTTCTGCCAGGCAAATGGCTTATTTACATGAAAATATCACAGTCCCTAAACTCCTGAGTCTGGGATAGAGTGTCGGGTGTTGGTGGTGGGGACGGGCTGGCACCTGCTGTATTCCTTAGTACGTGTGATTCTTCATTTATGTGTCACCTTGACCGGTCTAAGGGATACACAGAGAGCTGGTAAAACACAACTCTGGGTGTGTCTGAGTGGGGTCTCCAGATAAGACTAACATTTGAATCGGTAGACTGATTAAAGATCACCCTCACTAACGGGGGTGGGCCTCATCTAATCCATCAGGGGCTTGAAGGGAACAAAAAAGGCAGAAGGGTGAATTTCCTTTTTGCTTGAGTTGAAACATCCACCTTCTCCTGTCCTCAGACATCAGTGGGAATGGTTTTGGGGGCCTTTGGACTCCCACCAGGACTGACACCATCAGTCCCCAGTTTTCAGACCTTTTGATTTAGACCAAATTACACCACCAGCTTTCATGGTTTTCTGCTTGCAGATGGCAGATGGTGGGATTCTCAGCCTCCATCATCGCATGAGCCAATTCTTATAGTAAATCTCCTCTTCTATGTATGTATGTATGTATGTATGTATCCTATGTATGTGTGTATGTACCTATGTATCTACGTATCTATGTATCTATCATCTATCTATCTATCTATCTATCTATCATGTCCTATTGGTTCTATTTCTTTGGAGAGACCTACTACAGTATATTAAGAAAAATGACCCCAAATGTGTAAACAAAGCCAGAACCATCATTGAGCATTGATCAGTAGGTTCACCCATACATTATTCACTTTGCGAAGGACACATTGTTTCACTGTGATATTGATGAAGTTACGCGTGAACAGGGAGGTTTCGTCTGGAAGAGACGCGGTTGCTTCTTGGTTTCCTCTGGGATGTCAACCCCCTTGTGTTGGCTCAGCCCAGTGTGCTCAAGTCTCCCCCTGCCCCCTCCCACCTACAATGGTCAGGTGCTGTTTCCCTGTCATCCCCATTTATACCATCCACGTTTCTAGCTCCGTGGTTTTCCCCCCTTCCTGACACATAAGCCAGAGTACATCAGCGGATTTAGGAATTTCAAGCTAGAGGTAACTGGGAAAAACACAAACCATTTACTCCCCATCCCCCACTACCTCAGATTTGCCAGATGGATAGGCAGAAATACAGGGATTTCATCACACATGTGATGGGGTTCAAGCTAATTTTATTTGACTCCCAAAAAGATATTAAACCTCAGTTGACATCTGGGTGTTACAATACATTTCACCTTGTTCTTCCCCTCTTAAAGTAGTAAGATTGATTTCTGTTACAATAAAGAAGGCTTTGTCTATGACATAAAGTTAATTTGACTTTGATTGAAGAAAGTTCTATGGCCTGTCAGCTTTTTATTTTGTTTAAATTGTTGATTTATATAGAAATAGTGGCTCATTATTGCTGTAGATTACATTCTGATTCCTGGCTGATTATAGTGGAGATTTCTGGAGCAGGGGTTCCATTCTATCCCACAAAGTCAAATGATCATGATCTCCTTCTGATACACAACCCCACACAGACCATTTCTCCAATATCACAGATTCAGAAGGGCAATAACCCCTAAGATGACCTTTTAGGGAAGGTTGCTGTGGCATTCAATGATTCTTTCTATATGTGAGAACTGTCAAAGATAGGAGGAAGATAGAATCTGACTCTCACTGGGAATGCAAACTGATGCAGTCACTCTGGAAAACAATATGAAGGTTCCTCAAAAAACTAAAAATAGAACCCTATGACCCAGCATTTGCACTACTAGGCATTTATCCAAGGGATACAGGTGCGCTGTTTCAAAGGGGCACATGCACCCCCGTGTTTATAGCAGCACTATCCACAATAGCCAAAGTATGGAAAGAGCCCAAATGTCCATCGATGGATGAATGGATAAAGAAGATGTGGTATATACATACCATGGAGTATTACTCGTCAATCAAACAGAATGAAATCTTGCCATTTGCAACTACATGGATGGAACTGGAGGTTATTATGCTAAGTGAAATTAGTCAGTCAGAGAAAGACAAAAATCATATGACTTCACTCATATGAAGACTTTAAGAGAAAAAACAGATGAACATAAGGGAAGGGAAACAAAAATAATATAAAAACAAGGGGGGGGGACAAAACAGAAGAGACTCATAAATATGGAGGACACACTGAGGGTTACTGGAGGGGTTGTGGGAGGGGGAATGGACTAAATGGGTAAGGAGCACTAAGGAATCTACTCCTGAAATCACTGTTGGCACTACATGCTAACTAATTTGGATGTAAATTTTAAAAAAATGAAAAAAAAAAAAAAGAATCTGACTCTCACTTCTGGGACCACTGATTGGAGATCCTAGGGGTCTGTAAGATACAAGTGTGGATGTACAAGGGGGGCACCTGGGTGGCTCAGTTTGTTAAGCACCCAACTCTTGATATCTCATGGTCCAGGAAATCGAGCCCTGCATCAGGCTCCGCAATGACAGCTTGGAGCCTGCTTGGGATTCTCTCTCTTCCTCTTTCCCTGTCCCTCCTCTGCTTGCTCTCTTTCTCTCAAAACAAAGAAATAAACATTAAAAATGATTAAAAAAAAAAACCAAGTGTGGATGTAGGATATCAGGGGATGTAACAGATCTGAGCTGAATGTAGTGTATTGACAGAAGTATAATAGTGATGTTGCCAACCAGGTAGATGTTCCTGCCTAGGGCTTGAACTTCAGGGAATGATGGAAGGGTGTAGGGTCAGTTAGAGCTGATATGTGGCTGGACACTATAGAGGGTGGTACAGTGGCTAGTGTAGGTGGCTTTTTCTGGCAGCTGAGCAGTGCTGAATGCCCAGGGGCAGCAGCGCTAGCCGTGGCAACGGACGATGTCCCCTATGGTGGCAGCCTGCACATACCATTCCTGTGGCAGGTGTTCAGCTGTGCTTGGCCACTCTTGGTTCCTGTCCCAAGCTTCTCTTCTGTTTTATGAGCTACCAGATACCTTGCTAACAAATTCCTTTTCTGCTGAAGTTAAGGACCCTAATTTGTACAGCAGCCTCGACATCTTTATTCCTTAAGCTGTAGACCAGGGGGTTCAGCATGGGGATCACAATGGTGTAGAACACAGAGAGGCCCTTGTTATAGGCTGCAGCACTTCCAGGGTTGGGTTGGACATAGACAAAGAACACAGTCCCGTAGAAGAGGGAGAGGGCAGTGAGGTGGGAGGCACAAGTGGAGAAAGCTTTGCGCTGGGCCTCCAGGGACCTCATCCTACAGATTGTGACCAGGATGAAGGCATAAGAGATCAAGACGGCTGAGACCGTGGGGACAGTGACCAAGGCAGAGAGGCAAAGCAGGATGACGTTGGCCACTGTGGTGTCTGAGCAGGCCAGTTGGAGCACAGGGGGATGTCACAGAAGAAACGATCAATGACGTTGGGACCACAGTAGGGCAAGATGAAGGCATTCCTTGTCTGCGGAGCTGAAACGAACACCCCCACAGTGTAGGTGACCATTACCAGCTGGATGCACAAGCGCTTAGACATGATGGCGTGGTAGAGGAGAGGGTGGCAGATGGCCACAAATCGATCATAGGCCATTATGGCCAAGAGCAGGCTCCCCTGTGCTGTGGAGGATCATGGAGGCCATCTGGACCACACAGCCTGTAAACGAGATGGACCGGTCCGTGGTGAGGATGCTGATCAGCAGCCCGGGGTGAACACGGAGGAATTGCAGGTGTCCAGGAAGGAGAGCACGCTCAGAAGAAAGTACATGGGGGTGTGGAGGGCGGAGCTGGCACGGATCAGGTCTATCATGCCCAGGTTGCCCACCAGTGTCACAGTGCACATCATCAGGAAGACGGCAAAGAGGAGTTGTTTTTGGTCAGCCTGGTCTGTGAGGCCCAGCAGGATGAATCTTGTCACTGCGGTGTGATTCTGCCCCGATATCATCCCACTGGTGTGTTACCCACAGGACAATGAATGAGGGGAAGAGAAACAAGAATGTTAACATTCTCATCAAAGAGGTAGCCTTTAACATCTTCCACTGCGTGCATCTCTGAGTGGCAGGCTGGTCCCCAAACTCCATATCAATCCCATCATGTCACCCTCATGCGACGTACTGAAGGTCCTCTCTACCCCTCAGGATAATGTCTACATTCTTCAGCTTGTCACACGTCCTCTGCAACGCCTCTGTGCTACCGTGCACTCAACTTGCAATTCTGGACAACTTACTTCCACAAACACAGTGCGTGATTGTAAATGTCTGTGCTTTTTCAAATTCTACATTCTTGTTGGAATGTCCTTTGGTCCAGACCCAGCTTAGAGGTCCGTCCCCTCCCTCTCTCCCTGGACTTGCACAGATGCTCCTTTACTTGACATGACACTGTATTTTTTTTTTTAACGTTTATTTATTTTTGAGACAGAGAGAGACAGAGTATGAACGGGGGAGGGTCACAGAGAGAGGGAGACACAGAATCTGAAACAGGCTCCAGGCTCTGAGCTGTCAGCACAGAGCCCGACGCGGGGCTCGAACCCACCGACCGCGAGATCGTGACCTGAGCCGAAGTCGGGCGCCCAACCGACCAAGCCACCCAGGTGCCCCGACATGACACTGTATTTTAACTTTAAAAATAAAACGCCCGTCCGTTTTTCCTGTTGGACTTTACTTTATTTTTTAATTTTTAATGTTTACTTATTTTTGAGAGAGACAGAGTGCGAGCAGGGCAGGGGCAGAGAGAGAGGAAGACATAGAATCCAAAACAGGGTCCAGGCTCCGAGCTGTCAGCACAGAGCCCGGCGTGGGGCTCGAACTCACAAGCTGTGAGATCATGACCCAAGCCGAAGTCGGCAGCTTAACCGACTGAGTCACCCAGGCGCCCCTCCTGTTGGACTTTCTTACCCCTAGCAGCTGGAGAGTGACTTCATATCTCAGTAATTTGTGCCCTGGTATCTATCAAGTGCTGGTGTCAATGAATAAATAGAAATTCTCAATTCGATAAAATCTTCCTCATTCAGGGAATGCCAGCAGGATCCTCTCAGTTGTTTTGGCCAAAACCATTTTTGGCCACTTTTTTTCTCACCCCTCATTGAACCCCTCAGCAAATCACATCGGCTCTACCTTCAAAATAAGTACCAGCTTCCCACCCCTTCTTTGCAAGACACCCTCATAAGCTTGCTTGAATTAATGCAACTGCTCTTAGCTGGTGTCCTGCTTTCCTATTAAGAGGAGAAGCCAGGGCAAGCCTGTCACCACACCAGAGAAATGCAGGTTGCTCACAATGGCTCTGGGAGCCTGGCCACTACTCCATCACTTCCTTGCACCTCTCTGTCCTCTGGCCCACTCTTTTCCCTCTTGCTTAGCCTGCTCCAGCGACTCGTGCCTCCTTGGCCCTCTTAGGACACACAGGTGAGATTCAGGACATCTGCACCGCTGTCCCTGCCCCTCGGAGCACTCTTGTTCCGGTTAGCCACAGAGCTCCTTCCCTCATTCCCTTTAAGTTCAGGCTCAGATGTCACCTGCTTGTAAAGCCCTCCCTAAGCATCTTATTGACAATGAGACCCTGCCCTACATCAGCACTCACTATCCCTCTTCTCTGTTTCCTTTTCCTCCTCAGAGGACCTTTTCTCTTCTAAAGAATCTTTTTTTTTTTTTTAATGTTTATTTTTGAGAGAGAGACAGACAGACAGACAGACAGACAGAATCTGAAGCAGGCTCCAGGCTCTGAGCTGTCAGCACAGAGCCTGATGCGGGGCTCAAACTCTCAAACCGTGAGACCATGACCCGAGCTGAAGTCGGACGCTTAACGGACTGAGCCACCCAGATGCCCCGGACCTTTTCTCTTCTAATAGAGAAACATACACATGCAACATACGCATGACTTCTTGCTGTTGCTTACCATCTCTGTCTTGATATTAGGATGCTAGAACCGCAGAACCAGGCATTTCTGTCAATTTTTCGTTCATTGCTGTATCTCCAGCGACTGGCACGTAGTAACCTCTCAGTAAACGCTTATCGAATGGGGGTAAGGAAGCGGTAAAGAAGATACAGAGTCTCTTGGAGGCAAACCTGGCTGCCAAGAGGACAGTTACTACCCAGATGGGTGGGTTCAGAATTCCTGTTGCCCAAATCAGGTGGTAAAAATTGGGGAAGGGTTATGATAAGAAGTGGGTAGGGGTGGAATCGGACGACGATGTCCTGTGAAACCCAGAGCCGCTGAAAACTGGTGCCTGTGGTATCTTAGGGTCACGGCAGCAGAACCTGACTACGGGAGGTGGTTCGGCCGCTTAATGTGCAAGGTGGGCTGGACCTTGGGAGTGGATTTCCCATCCTGGAGTTTGGGCCCAAATGTCTGAATTCACAGCCCTCATCTTGAATCTCTGACAACCATAAATTTTTAACTCCAGCTGTGGAGGCCTTAGGGTGATTCTTTTCAGATGGGTATATGCTTTGCAGCCTATATTGATAGTTTTGGTAAGATGTCTTTATAAGATGATAAATTTTTGGTAACAAGTATATCATTTAATATGAACTTGAATACGCATTTGAATATATACATATTAATATACGATTTGAGGTGGTTGAGATGGTTAAGAGTATCTGCAGGGCGCCTGGGTGGCTCAGTCGGTTAAGCGTCCGAGTTAGGCTCAGGTCATGATCTCATGTTTTGAGAGTTTGAGCCCCACGTCAGGCTCTCTGCTATCAGCACAGAGCCCACTTCAGATCCTCTGTCCCCCTCTCTCTCTGCCCCTCCCTCCCCCCCATCAAAAATAAATAAACATAAAAAAATTTAAAAAAGAGTAGCTGCTTAATTTGACGTAACATAAGGAGGATGCTTAGCTAAATTGAATTAGCTGAATTTATTTTTGATTTGGCTAAAATGCAGAGGAACATTTGATTTATTAGATATATAGTTTTTGATTTAGTAATTTTGAGGAGTTGTTTAAACACTTAGGAAGTCTTCTGAAGGGCTTGGGAAATGAGGTACATTAAATTTGTGATTGTGGTTTAAAAAGTTCAAGAGCATTTAATTAATTATATTTGTTCTTCTTCTTATTTTTTATCATTAAAAAAAATGTTTATTTTTGAGAGAGAGAGCGAACACAGAGGGGGAGGGGCAGAGAGAAGGGGAGACACAGAATCTGAAGCAGGCTCCAGGCTGTCAGGGCAGAGCTGAGTCAAAGTGAGATGCTCAATGAACTGGTGGCTGTGTCAGCCACCCAGACACCCCTAATTAGTCATATTTATTTTCTTTTTTAATGTTTATTTATTCTCATGAGAGAAAGAGAGAGAGAGAGACAGAGACAGAGACAGAGACAGAGACAGAGAGACAGAGCGCAAGTCGGGGAGGGGCAGAGAGAAAGGGAGACACAGAACCCGAAGCAGGCTCCAGGCTCTGAGCTGTCAGCCCAGAGCCCAACACGGGGCTTCAACTCACGAACCATGAGATCATGATCTGGGCTGAAGTTGGATACTTAACCCACTGAGCCACCCAGGCATCCCAATCATATTTATAAATGGTATTTAAATATTTAGGAGAATTTGCATCTATAGATTTTTTTGTGTATATGACTTTGAATTGTTTAAGAGAATTTGATTGTAAATAGTGCTTAAATTAATTGAAGGAATTTAATCTGTTAAATTTTGAGGCTAAGGGAACATTAACCAAAGATTAAGTGTGATTGTTTTAAATTTTAACAAACATTACTAGATCTAAAATTCAATTGATTATATTTGAAAATTGCATTTAGTGGCCTAAGAAAAATTAAGTTCTAAATTTACAACTTAAAATATTATAATCAATTAACAAATGGCTTTAGATAATCTTTTCCATGTACAAAATATTTGGACATCAAAAAAAGTCACTTGTGGGGCACCTGGGTGGCTCAATTAGTTGAGTATCTGACTCTTGATTTTTGGTTCAGGTCATGATCCCAGAGTCGTGGGATCAAGCTCTGCATCAGACTCTTGAGAATTGAGATTCTCTTTCTCTCTCTGTCCCTCCTCTGCTTACGTGTGTGCATGTGTGCTTGCTCTCTCTCTGTCTCTCTCAAATAAAACAAACAAATATTTGTTGAACCTCTGCTCTGTGCTATTCCGTAGGCCAGGTACTCCCCTCACCCTGGCCTCATTTGAGAACCGAGTAACCTGCTTGCGGTCACACAAGGATGAACGGGTATTTGAACTTGAATGACCATGTGGACAACGCTTGGCAGAATCCTCTATTCATTGGGTAGGCATTATAGCCTGAGGAAAGAGAATAAATAACTAGAGAAATAAATACGCTAGAGAAATTACTTAATGAAAACTAATAGATCAAATAAGGTAACCAGAGAAGAATAGTAAAACCCAATAATTCAGCCAGCCCAAGTCAGATGTTTAAACCAGAAAAAACTCGGGAGAACAGAACATGTTCCAAGCGCAGCAGGAGGTCCTTACGGGAAGTCTTGTTAGGGGAAGTCATTGCTCTCCCATTTGCAGCTCTGGGCCACAGATTCTGATTCAACCATCCAGTTGTACAAGGGTGACCTAGGTGTACAGAATTTCTTCCATCTGCAGAGAACTCTTGCCCTCGGTGGCCGGGTCTCTTGAATCCCCCAAGGGAAACTGGGACCCCCCCACCCCCAGAGGCTCCAGACTCTGAATATACACCTTTTGTAGTTTCTACACTCCTAGAACATGGACACATTGGAAACACAAGGCAATGCTACTCTGATCCCTGTTCCAAGAACCAATTCTACGGGGGACGCACTAAGAGGGTTCTTGAAAGTGTCGAGTGAATCAATTTCGTTGGATTTTTGGGTGGATGGAGGTATAGAAAGAACAGCGGGGTTACCTTTCAATTTTACCTTTTGTTTTTTTCGAGTGGGAAATGTATTCCAGTTGTACAAAATTCAGAAGGGACTACGCTGAAAATAAGTCCTCGTCCTGCCTGCCCCCTTCTGATTCCCCC